CCCCTTGCCCTCCAAGGTCGACTAAGTTTCAGGGGACTATGGAACATCTCTCAAAATGTCCTGTAACTGTGGTGAGTCACCTGCCCTCTTGTTCAGGGAGGCCATGGAGAGCCCATGAGATGGACTTGAACTAGTGTCCAATCTGCAAAGAGGAGGCTCAACGCAGAGGAAACATCTCCTTCATGCTTCCAAGTGAAGCCAGCTGTGGTTGAGCAGGACCTTTGGCTTATCTTCACATAAATGGAACTGGTAAAAGAAAGGAGCCAGAAGGTGCTCCCAAGCCCATGTGACCCCTGAGGATCAGATCCTCAAATGCCCTTAAGTGTAACAATAAACTGATTTATTTGGGCCAATTATATGGTCTTAACAACCCAAAAGTAAAGTATAACCAAAGAGTAAAGTCATCAGTATATTTAAGAGTTCAAGGGATTACACTTCCAAGATATTAGGCTTAAGTCTATTAAAAAGTTATTTAGACAATTATTTCTTATTGATGATTTTGTTCCCAACCAGAAAGTGCTGCTCGGATGTAAGACTTCAAATCTTGGTCTCCAATACTGTAGTTCCCACCTGTAGCAAAGGGAGATAACCAGCTATTGTTCTAAAATGATGGATAAATTTGTTGTCTCCCCGATTTAGAAGCCTTTAAGAGGGAACTGACACTGATTCTAACCACTCCAACAGCTATCAAAATACCTGAATGCAAATCCTGAATCAACACTCTAGAGTCCAGCCTTGGAAGATGAAAGAGAAATGAAGAGAACCCCAGTAGAGGGATGCTTTTGGAAGCCCTTGTCAAGAAATTCCAATGGACTCTCATATGAACATTTGAAAATTGCCCTGTTCTGACTTTTTTCTACTTCCATGTCTAGAACTTGTAATGCTAATTACTCTTGCCTTTACTTCTCCTTCACATTTTCTAGTAATTATTCAAGGACTTTCTTTTCCCCCTAGAGATAAGAGTTATGCAATTTGGTAGTCTTTTAGATAGACCCATTGAAGTGGTACTCCAATTGCCTCAGTCTGTATTCCTGCTCAGCGTGGAAGAAGCCAAAGTGGTCTGAGTCCCTACTCCCTATTGGCAATTTGGGTAGCCTCTTCATAGGATGGCATGATAAAAATAGGAGGTAGGAAGTGGCTGGGCAGTTAGGGTAAAAAGACCCCAAAGAAATCAGTTTCTTGGCTAAAAGTCATAATGTCCTTAGGCCTCTTAGCAACATACTCTGTTCCAAAGGCCAAAAATTTCAAAAATATTTGGGAGCTTTTATGTAATCCTTAAAAGATTTTAGAGTTACCTCTTCAGGGGGGGTGGTGTTCGAGTAGCCAAAAGCCCCTGGCAGTCTCCCAGTGTTCTGCAAGACAGGGATTATCAGAGCTACTGTTTTCAGTGCCCCTCCCTTCAGCAGAGAATGCAGCCTGGACTTAAAAGTTTTAGGCTCATCTCACCCTAGGGCCTGGCATCCTGGTTTCCTACAATTCCTACAAGTAGGAACTCTGAATGTCCCCGTTGTCCTCTGAATGTCCATCTTCCTGGTTGTGTAGTCCAGGTCACTGCTAGAACAATAGCAACTTGATTCTATTGAGACAGGTGAAAATCTCAGGGGTGTCTTCTAGACTTCTTTATCTAAAAGTTAAGCAATATCTGCATGCAAAGAATTCCAGCTTCCATTATTTGAGGTTGCCTTCCACTACTGTGACTTCTTCCGTCTGTCCTCTGAATGTCCATCTTCCTGGTTGTGTAGTCCAGGTCACTGCTAGAACAATAGCAACTTGATTCTATTGAGACAGGTGAAAATCTCAGGGGTGTCTTCTAGACTTCTTTATCTAAAAGTTAAGCAATATCTGCATGCAAAGAATTCCAGCTTCCATTATTTGAGGTTGCCTTCCACTACTGTGACTTCTTCCATGTCTGGGAGGGGTAAAACACGTGGACTGAGCAAGCAGGGAACGGCTTCCGGGAAGACCTTTGACTCTAGAGGAGTTCAGCATTAAATGCAGACTGTAGTGGGTAGCTCTGCAAGTGGAAACCTGACAGTGGGTTCCAGATCACAATCATTCCACATAAGTTGCTACTTTTATGCTTATCTGAAAATGAGAATAATAAAAATGCCCACGTCTTAAAAGGTTTTGTTACGTAAAACGCAACTTCACATGAAGTTCCACTTCACGTTTCTCCAGGGTATTTAATGGCATAAGCTACAAATGACAATCAAAATACTTATTAATAAACACATACTGAATGGTTGAAGTTAGGGTTAGCATTTTATATTTAAAATTTGGTGTTATTTTTCACAAATATCAAAGTAAACTTGGAGTCAACTGTCCATAACAAAATTTGGTATATTATGCTCTAGTAAATATTATGGAAAATCATAGAACTCTGCACGAAGAGCTAGGCAGAATGAAAGATTAAATTGATCACTTGAGAATTGACAGAATCTTGGAAACTTGGTTGTTTTCGCATGTGAATTGCATTACTCAGTTTCCACTACAGAAAATAATGATGCTCTGCGGTGCTTTAAGGTTTGCATTTGAATCTTTAACATCTTCAGAGGTTTATCCCCAAAGGAGAACAAAAAGTAAAAGGTGGCTACATAAACACAACTAACTTGATTTTTTACTGAAAGATGAATAAGACCTCATTTCAGGAGGTATGATTTTGGCTTTTGTTAATGAATCTGACTGTTTTTCATTTATCATTTGAGGAAATTTTCTTATCAGTATTCACAGGCTTAATACTGATAAAGGGCAGATGTAGTCACAGTCAGCTAGTGAACCATTTTGGCTGACTTGCTCTGTTTCCCCTGTTGGTTTCATGGGAGGACATGGTCATAATCTGTTTTCAGGACCCTTTCTACCTACATGCAAGGGAGCACATCCTCTGGTCTTTAAGCATTATCCAAATGTGGCACTCTTCAAAAAATGCTAGCTGTGAGTGGTTTGGGGCATTTGTTCGTATTTAAAAACTTAAATTGAAAATTTAAAAATGTAAAGAAGTAAAAAACTCTTTGTAGGAAAATTTTCCTTGTAGAAAAAGCATTGCGTATTTCATACAGCTACATAGTGTGTTGAAAATAATATTATTTTATGCTGTACATATAAAATTCCAAAGAGAAATCAGGGTTATAGTGGTAAGTGATTTGATTCATTTGAATGAATCTACTTTTAGTTATGTGCTGAGTACCAATTATACTTTTGTTCTGGAGTGATTACATAGACACTATTTGGTAAAACAACATTTTCTGTTTCAAATACATAAGAACATTCAATAAATTTACAGCAGATAATTTCACTGATAACTTTGATTTAAAATTCCTGTCTGATTAGTGTATGAACAATTTTATTCATTCTTTCACTTAAACTGTGGTATTTAATTGATAGATATTATGAAGTATATAACAATGTAGGTGACTCTTTTATACATTAGCTATCAAAAGCCTTTAAAACCCTGTTATCCTCCCAATTCTGGCATATTGGAGTCTGATAATCATTATTAATTTGATATTATATAGTTGTTAAGTAATGGGCAGTCAGACATCTTTGGGTTCTAATTCTGATTTTACTGCTTGTTCTGTAACCATGTGCGGCTTACGTAATCTCTTTCAGATTTATGAAATAATGATGGAAATAATATGTGAAATTGTAATATTTTATGAAAAATGTATATATCGATTCCATATTAGTTTTCCCTCCTTGTATATCCTTTTCTGTCCTATCCTCCCACGTCTCACCCCATCAAACCTGTCCTATTTATTTTTCCCATTTAAATCACTGCATTCTATCTCCCCACCTGTGTATCACCTCCCATGACTCCTTAATAGTTTCCAGATCTCTAAATATTTTTCAATTAAAATACACTTATCAAAACATTCATAACTAGCATTCGCTCATGAGAAAGAAAACTCAAAGCGTCTTTCTGGTCTGGGTTACCTCAGTTAGGATTTGTTGCCACTTGTATTGATTTGCCTGCAAATTTAATAATTTCATTTTTCATAAGTGCTGAATAATAGTCCCTTGTGTAAATGTACCGTACTTTCATTATCTAATCATCAGTTGATGGACATCTATGTTGTTTTCATTTCCTGGCTATAGGGTGGTGGGCAGGAAGCCCCAGTTCTAGTTGAGGATCTATTGACAATTGACAGATGCTGGGAGAGAGAGAGTTAGTTTTCCTTACTGTTGTGATGCCTTGTGGGTTGATTAGACTCCAGGGAATAAACTCACGCTTGAGAAAGACAGATTAGATTTGACACCTTAAGAAAAAGGACAAGTAATAAAGGAAATGAAGTTGTAGGGGCAGCTAGCTAGGCGTGGAGCGAGGGTCTGATATGGCTCAAAATAGATTGTATGAAATAATCAAATCAATAAAAATAATTTAACAGTTATAAAAAAATTAAAATTTTGTAAATTACATATTTGCATGTCTCTATATATTTTATATTCAAATCTTTCTTTTTCTTCTTGGTTGTTATTATTTATTTGAGAGAGGGTCTCCCTGTAGCCCCAGCTGTTCTGGGCCTCGCTGTGGTCACAGAGACCCGCAGGCCTCTGCCTCCTGAGTATTGGGATTAAAGGCATATGCCAATATGCCATCATGTAGAACTTATGTCTTTTTTACACAAACGTGTACACACTCACACACACACACACACACACACATATATATATATATATACACACATACATACATATACTTTTTTTCCTAATGAACTTGGCATTTATTTTTGTTATTTTCATGTCTCTTCTCTTTTTATTATTTGGCTTAAAAGGTACATTTTGGAAAACAATATAATATATAAGAAAAACATTCTATTATGAATTTTTCAAATGTTTCTGCTAAACTCAACTTTAAAATTACAGATCATCATTGCAAGTAAATATGTATTGGTATTTGAGTATTGATACTTATAACAGCATTCTAGATATATTAATGAAATTACAACTATATATTTATAAATTTATTCCTGTGACATCTCCATCTCAACTTTGTTCTTGCAGGAGCTGTACTATCCCCATGGCTTTCATGGGGAATGTGAACCACACTGCAGTGACAGAGTTTATTTTACTTGGCTTAACAGATGACCCAGTTCTTCAAGTCATCCTCTTCTTCATCATCCTGTGTATCTACCTGGTGACTGTGTTGGGAAACCTCAGCACAATCTTTCTAATCAGAGTCTCCCCTCAGCTCCATCACCCCATGTACTTTTTTCTGAGCCATCTGGCTTTTGCTGACATAGGTTATTCATCTTCTGTCACACCCAATATGCTTGTCAACTTTCTGGTGGAGAGAAATACAGTCTCTTATGTTGGATGCGCCATCCAGCTTGGCTCAGCTGTTTTCTTTGGGACAGTTGAGTGCTTCCTTTTGGCTGCCATGGCTTATGATCGCTTTGTGGCAATCTGTAGTCCACTGCTTTATTCAACCAAAATGTCCACACAGGTGTGTGACCAGTTGTTCGTAGTAGCTTATATAGGCAGATTTTGTAATGCTTCTTCCTTTACCTTTTCCTTCTTTTCTCTGCTCTTCTGTGGACCAAACAGAGTCAATCATTTCTTCTGTGACTTTGCTCCATTAGTAGAACTGTCCTGTTCTGATGTCAGTGTCCCTGCAGTTGTTCCATCATTTACTGCTGGCTCCATCATTGTGGTGACAATATTTGTCATAGCTGTCTCCTACATCTACATCCTCATCACCATCCTGAAGATGAGCTCCACTGAGGGGCGGCACAAGGCCTTCTCCACCTGCACCTCCCACCTCACTGCAGTCACTCTGTTCTATGGGACCATCACATTCATTTATGTAATGCCCAAGTCCAGCTACTCCACTGACCAGAACAAGGTGGTGTCTGTTTTCTACATGGTGGTGATCCCTATGTTGAACCCCCTCATCTACAGTCTGAGGAATAATGAGATTAAAGGAGCTCTAAAGAGACAGCTCGGAAGGAAAATATTTTCTTAGAGATGTCTGTTGTTTTGTAGGACTTCCTATAGTAATAATATCTGATAGGCATAATATTAAATGTGTCTGTGTTTATGATTGAAAAAAGTCTCCAGATATACTATTAACATCTGGGAGGATTTTCAATAAATGGAAGTGCTCAAATTTCAGATTTTATAACAAACCAGATGTTCACAATTCATTATCTTTAATAAAATTAAATCAGGATTAATTAAGGGCATAAATATAATCATAAACTACTAAAATTCTTTTCAAATTGTATTCATAAGCTTTTTCAAAATTGCTCAAAGTTAACCTTTTTACAGATTGGCTCATAATTACCTCCAAAGGTCCTGGTTCCTTGGAACAAGGCCTATTCTCTATTGTGGTGCTCTTGGGATGTGATAGGAACATTTAGAGACTGACCCTCATGGGCAATCTTTAGTTTGCTGGAAGCCTGCCATGGAGGAGATGCTGGAATTTTGAACATTCTTTGTTTATTTTCCTTATTGACCACAAGGTGAATGGTTTAGCTCTATCATGAATCCCTACCATGATGTGCAACCACAGGACAGGACCCACATCAATAGAGTCAACTCACCAGGCACTCCAACCTCCAAAATTCTGTCCAAAAAAGAATCCTTTTTAAAAATATTTTATTTATTATTTTAATTTTATGTGTATGAGTATATACCTGCATGTATGTGAGTGCACCCGTGTTGTGCAATGATGCAGAGGTCAGAAGAGGGCATCGAATTCCCCTGGAACTGGAGTTAACGACCATTCATAGCCACCACATGGGTGTTGGGAATTGAATCTGGGTCCTCTGTAAGAGCAGTCAGTGGTCTGAACTGCTGAGCCATCTCTCCAGCCCTCTTTTTCTTTTTGTAAGGTGATTACTTTAGCTGATGACAGAACATACTTTGGCACAGGATCTGGAGCAATGGAGCTGGAACTGATCTGAAAGTCACTTCCCCTGGAGGATAGCTCTCATAGCTTTGGAAAGCACTATAAAAGGTGCTAAGACAGAGCATCAATCAATGGTTCAACACCAGCTTCAAGATTAAATAACCACATCAGTGGCTGGCACAGCATATGATATTGGTGCAACAGTGGGACTAAAAGCCCACTCAATGGGGGGACACTCATGTGTGGTACTGTAAACATAGCCAAATACACATGGCTGGAGAGGTCATATATCTTAGAGAAAACTCCAAGACTGTGACATCCCTAGACAAATGTAATTTTTTTTTTACTATGTGAGAAGTATGGATCCTTATATTACAGAAAAATATCCCAGTCACCACTCAGCAAAGAAGCTTCTTTTGCACCATACAGAGACTAATACAGAGTACTACAACTGGTCATACACAGACATTGTCTATGAATTGCCTCAGCCTAAGTGGCACATCTACAATGCAACCTCTACACCTAAGGCTCAGGGAACATAGAACAAGGGATAAGGACACTAATGAATCTCTCAATTCTCATTAATGAAACTCCTTCATGCAACAGAAAGCCAGGAACACAAAAGGTCACAAATGATCAGTGTAGAGATTAAGAGTCAGCAGAATGCTTGTCCTTGGACAGGACTCCTATATTAAATTTCATCCACCCATGGCTCAGGGACCATTGCTGAAGAGGGGACAGAAAGATTGTAGGAGTCAGAGAGGAGGTGCATGACCATATGGAAATAAAGTCCTACTGGCTCTTGGGACCTTGCTCATATGAACCTATAGCAATGGTCTCAGCATGTACACGTCCCATGCAAACTCAAGCAGACAAAGCCCAGTACAGAACTGGGGAAATGGACAGCAGACCCCGAACTTAGCTAAAGAAATACTGGCAGCTGATTACTCCTGGGTGAGTGAGAGCTGATCTTCATAAAGCAAAGAACGTTAGATAGACTGACTAGACATCACCAGATGAACCTGCACTGAGCAAAATCTGGGGACACTAACTTGACACAATAGGCCTTAACACAAATATCAGAATGTATGAATTCTAGTGGGGAGGTTATGGGAGGGTGCCAGTATGGGAAGGGGTAAGGTGATTAAGATTGATTAAGATGTTCTGTATGAAACAAACAAAAATTCATTATAAGGCCATGTTTGACATAAAACAACTGACTTGCCCATTTGTAAGGATTTGAAGGGAAAAACAAAGTTTATTCATGAATAAACTTTGCCTTGGAAAAGTCAGAAGATTTGATTAGCCTTAATCCTATAGGAGGCTGTCTACCAATTGGCTAGTTCCTCCAAGGGACTGGGCCTGCCCCAGAGCATGGACCACTGAGGTGCGGCTGGGGGCCAACTTGGAACTGAAGCCATGAGCAGGGAGGAACTCATATGGTGGTGGGTGTGGAGAGAGAGGTGGCCCTGGCACCTCATCCTTGTGGACTCGAGAGGGGGCATCTACTGATCTGGGACAAGACTGCTGGCCCAAGATGCGTGGGCAGAAAGTTAATGGAGACTATGGGTGGGGCCATGGGAGCATCTGATGGCGGGGTCTGAGCCCTGGTGCAAGAGTGCTTGTCTTTGTAAGTTCCCTGTTTACCCCCTCCCTACCTGAGGGCATAAACCATAATAAACTCACATAAAGATATGTTATATGGTTTGCTTGATAATGCAGGAGGCCTAGAGGGAATTTGGGTGACAGAGGCCATACAGATAATGAGAGATCTTGAATCCTATGCCAGTATAGAATCGTGAATGGGTGCACAGATTAGGATTCCTACTGGATCATAGGCAGAATACAAGGACCCCAAATGGTGTTACTTGGAATGTGGGCAACAGTTCTATGTTCTCTAAACTTCATTCTCACTGTCACTAAAACACAGAACGACAGGTCAGGAGGATGAACAGTGGGCTGCTGGCCAAGGACTTGGGAGTATATATCTTCATTGCTACCTACTTGTGAAGGTGTTTTCTTCTTGCCGCAGAATGAGTTACCACAAATCACTGACTGCTTCACAGAATGAGTCTCCCACTGACTGAACTTCTCACCGTGTCCACATCTGACCTCTTCATGACTGCCTTTTGCAGGCATTTCTCACCCAGACACTGTTGTCAGGAATCTCAGGCTCCCTGGTTTGTGGTTCTTTCTTGCCTTGGGATCTGCAGAAGATTTCAGTCTTAAACAATAGACACCTCTGAAGATAGATACTGGCTATTGCACTCAGAGATACGGAGAGTGACAATGTGGATTATTTTTCCCCCAAAACTGGTCCACCATACAGGAAGAGCCACTGTCCCAGTAAACTTCTCAGTTGATTTAAGACTTGAGAGAACTGTGGTCTTGTCCTGTGTGTAGGGCTGCCAGTCTTTTCTCAGCTCAAAGCCTGTCTTACCTTGTATATGTGGATTTGGTTCTTTGCCCCACCCCTGATGAGGAGCTAAGACTGGAGCTGCAGGGTGTTTCCTACTTTTTGCTGCATGGTTTTAAGTATCTCTGTGGCTTTAAGTTATTCTATTAAGTTTTTGTTGACTTCTAAATCTATTCTCCACTTTTCATCTTTGGAAAAGATTTTCATGTGTCATTGGGACTTTTCTCTTTCATGGAGTCTTGAAGACTCCCTTATCCTTGCACATGCATTGAAAATACTTTTCATTTAAAATTTCCTGGCTTTAAAATTTTGTTTATTTGGAGTACAAATGTTATAAATTTTGACAAAGCTGAGTCAATCTTTTTCTTGCATATTTTTAATATATTTATGTGCATTTCAGTAAAACGTCTTACTTATCTTTATTCCCTCTCCTTCATTCACCTGTCTATACAACCTCCCCCACTGATTTTATTCATCTTGTCATATATGTTAAGACCTTTCAAGTTTTTATAGCCAGGTGTCCCTTAGTGCAATTTCATCCGCTGGAGTCTAGTCAGCCTATCTGGCATCATTCCGTTAAAGAAAATCAACTCTCCCTCACCCAGTAGTAATCAGCTGCTCATAGTTCTTTGGCTAAGGTTTGGGCCTCCTGACCGTTTTCCCCGTTCTATGCTGTGTTTTTATCTGGTTTAGATTGCATGAGTATTGTGCATGCTAGCAGCATTGCAATAAGATCATGTGAGCAAGTTCCCAGAGGCCTGGAAGACTCTGTTTTCTTATGGTCACACACCAACCCTGGCTTGTACAATCTTTCTGCCACCTCTTCCACAATGGTCCCTGAGCTATGGGTGGATAAAATTTAATATATGAGTCCTACCCCAGGATACACTCTCTGAAGTGTCTTCTTCTCTACACTTTGGTCAGTTGTGGCCTGTGTGCATGGTACTCTGTTACATGAGGAAGATTTACTGATGAAAGCTGAGAGATGCATTAGCATTCTCTCTATCCTCTGTTCCACTATGTTCTGTGAGCTTTAGGTGTAGCGGTTTCATTGTAGATGTGTCACTTAGGGTTGGAGATATCACAGACACTTATCTGTGAGTGACCAGTTGTGGAACTCTGTAATAGTTTCCGTCTGTTGGAAAAAGGAGCTTCTTTGATGAATGGTGAATGATATACTTGTCTGTAAATATAAGGATCCACATTTTTCCATTCTTATTTTCCTTGTTCACTGTACTTTTGGGCCCTATCTAAAAAAATATTGTTTTGCTGTCCATATGATACAAAGATTTTCTAAGTATCTTACAATCTTTCCCATATTTCATTTCATGTATGTGCATGGGCACACATTTGAAGGCCCAAGGCTGATGTTTGAAATCACCCTCTTTTGCTCTCCTACCTTATTCAACGAGACAGAGTCTCTCAGTCAAACTCAGTGCTTCTCAGCATGGCCAGTCTAGCTCATCAGTTTGCTCTGGGGATCCTTTGTCTCAGCCTTTGTTGGCTGAAATTTACACAGACCATCTTGCTCACATATCATTTATATGGTTCTGGGGATTCAAACTCTGGTCCTTAACTCTTCTGCAGCAAGCACTTTAACCTCTAAGTCATCTCCCCCATCTCTTCAAATGTCTATGAGACATTTTAGCTGATCTTTGCAATTGGTAGGCATTACAAATTTGTCTTGACTTCTTCCTTATGGCTATGAAGTCTTTCACATAACACACTGAAAACTCTTATCTCGTTGAGGG